CCCCATTCTTCTGAATCGAATTGAGCTACAAATATAGAAGATATTTAAAACTATTACTACAGTTCCGACTAAATACAGAAATCACATTCTACAAAACTTGAACAAAAGAAAGTATTTGGCGCACAGGAATTTGTTTAGCCATTTCAAACTTTTTCTCCTGTTTAAATCCAAGTACAACATCCAGTCGACAGTTTAACGGTTTTTGCCGCTTATTTTTTGCAGTAAGTTCTAAATATGAAAAGAATTTTCATTTTTAAGTTTTTATTTGAATATCATTTAATGGTCTATTTTCAAGGGACTATCAACCTAAAGGGGCTGTATAGTCATATTTTCAAGGGAATATCCACCTAAAGAGACTGTATAGTCATATTTTCAAGGGACTATCAACCTAAAGAGACTGTATAGTCATATTTTCAAGGGACTATCAACCTAAAGGAGCTGTATAGTCATATTTTCAAGGGAATATCCACCTGAAGAGACTGTATAGTCATATTTTCAAGGGAATATCGATTTTAAGGGTGATATGTCCGGTTTACAATCGTGCACTACACTTTAACCTTTATCTGAGTAACAATGAGGAAGATATTCACGTTTTTCCTTCGTAAACCGTGTTCAATTCTGAAAATATGCTTCACTGTCTCTGCATTATAAATATGCAAGTCACTAATATAGAGAAAAAAATCACCATAATCAATTTTTAATTAAGAAAACATGGATTTTTCATTCATACTTGATCAGATAGACAAAGGATACCACTGTGAATCGAACATAAATTGAGGTTCACTTCAAAACATGTATACAATCCCTTTAAAAATATGGTTACAATCCCTTTAAAAATATGTATACAATCCCTTTAAAAATATGTATACAATCCCTTTACAAATATATTTACAATCCCTTTAAAAATATGTATACAATCCCTTTAAAACCTTATTTTAAAAACTCCTGAGTTGAATTTTATTGATTGACTAGATACCATACAATCCATACCATCCTTTTCTAGTCATAATCCTCATTTTCGAATTCTAAACCTAAACCATCCTAGTCTAGTTATAATTCTCATTATTACGAAACCTAAACTATTCTCTTCTATGTAGATCTTCCTGACCCAAAAATAAAACTATGCCTATTTTATTTATAACTTTCCTTAAATCCATGAACCTACCGATATATTAAAATATTCTTATCTTTGAAACCTTATTTTTTACTTTTTAATCCTTACAATGTTAATCTAAACCATTCCAGAATATAACATCAAAACTATGCTAGCGTAAACCTTGATAATCCTATTACTATTATTATTATTATTATTATTATTATTATTATTATTATTATTATTATTATTATTATTAATATTTCACTAAATAGGCGGGAGGAATAGAAAAATGACTAATATTAAGATTCAAGAAGATTGAAAGATATTGTTGATACAGGGTTATCCATAAAAATGAGACCTTAAAGACGGCATTCATGCCTCCCAGTGCAACTGTAAACTTTATTATTTCTTCGTAAAATCATTTCTTTACGTTATTTAAACACTTGGAAACTAAATTCGACTTATTTAAATACCTTTACAGAGTTTCAGGTCGTCATTTAAGCCTCATCATTTTTGCGTAACCCTGCATAACGGATGAAAGAGAAAAAAAAATTCAAAAAGGATAAAAAGAAAAAGATACGGGTAATGCGAAGGATAAAAAAAGAAAGGTAATTTATTAGAAATAAATAAGAGAATGAACGAAAATAATCAAAAAGAGAGAAAATATATCAAAAAAGTATGGAAAAAAATATAATATATAAGAATGGTTGAAAAAGAGAGAAATTGTTTCCTAAAAGGGTAAATAGAAAAAGATTTTATAAAGAAAGCATAAAAGGGAGAAATAGGGACACTATCAGGAGAAGGATAAAAGAAAGAGAGGGACACTCTCAGGAGAAGGATAAAAGAAAGAGAGAGAGACTCTATCAGAAGAAGGATAAAAGAAAGAGAGAGACTCTATCAGGAGAAGGATAAAAGAAAGAGAGGGACACTATCAGTAGAAAGATAAAAGAAAGAGAGAGAGACTCTATCAGGAGAAGGATCAAAGAAAGAGAGAGTGACTCTATCAGGAGAAGGATAAAAGAAAGAGAGAGACTCTATCCAGAGAAGGATAAAAGAAAGAGAGAGGGACTCTATCAGGAGAAGGATAAAAGAAAGAGAGAGACTCTATCAGAAGAAGGATAAAAGAAAGAGAGAGACTCTTTCAGGAGAAGGATAAAAGAAAGAGAGAGACTCTT